TTATTCATCATTAATAGACAAACATAATAACATTAATAACAAATTCTAGTTATTCTACAATGTATTTAAAATAATATAATTAAAAAACCAATTTATAATATAAATAAATAATAATAATAATAATATGATTTATATGATTATTAATTATTATTATATATTTATAAGTGTTTATCATAACAATGTTAATTCGTTTTTATAATTTTAACCGTTATGAGCGCTAGATGCGGAAACAGTCACAGATCGCGTGACTTTTTGATTCAAATCGTTGCTGTGTAATAACATTTTTCTAATGGGTCGTTGGGCAACCATACTATCTTAAATCGTGATGACACGGGATCTATTTGTCAGCATACCGATAATTCTTGAGCACAGATATATATATATATATATATAGTTTATTATATATATCTGTGTTCTTGAGTTGCATTGGCCTGGAAACATCACTTATGATTGGATTAATGCTGATAAGAATGATAGTCGACGAGTGATAACATTAAACAGCTGTTCAKGTTCAAAATTTGAATATTTCAGCGGTCGGTTTTCGATACGCACTTTCACGACGGGTACATGCTGTCTATACAGAGACACAAAGTATTACAATTTACAGACTTCAACACATCAGAATATAAATTACCTATATTAGTATTAAACGCAGTGCATATAGATTATCAGTCTACTACTTTTTTAATTTTATCCTCCGTTAAAGATTCTCACTAATTTAACTCTGTAAAAGATCCATGATTATAATTACTATCGTCATCCGTTGTGAGGAACGGCGCTAGGATTTGCGGGGCCCCGGGAAATAATTACATATTATCCAAACTAACTAATCTCTGAACAGTATAAAATATCATTTAAGAACTGCGGGGCCTTGATTATAATTTTTAAATCGCGGGGCCCGGGGTAACTGCCCCGATTGCCCCCCCCCCTCGCGCCGTCACTATATCCATTGTAGCCGTCGTACGAATCGCAAAACAGATCAAAAAACACCAAAAAGTAGCAAATGACATGGCATAGTTATTATTTTATACGATATATATTATAATATGTATGCATATCAATAGTCATAATTCGAATTCGAGTTACGAAAATTATAGTTTATAATAATGAATAACGATTGTAGTCGTCATCAAAGACTGTCACATGATTCGTTCGAAATTTCTATTTGTCGAATAGAAYGAATCAGAACCGACAGTTTTTAAGTAATAAAAAAAAACTATACAGTTATAATATTTTAATCGACTATTTATATCTTGTAAGATAATATTATTGAACAGAAGCAAAAAACATTAATTATGAACATAGACTCATAGGTTAGGTCATAGGTCACATCATAATATATAATATATAATATTTATATTATGTATATATTATATTATATAATATTATATATATATTATATATATTATGTATAATATATATTATATATTATATTTCATTATATTATATATTATATTATATTACATAATATATAATACAGTAGAACCTCATTAATCTGGACCCCATTCGTCCGGACTTCGCTTAATCCGGACAGTTGTCTAATATTACGAAAAATACGCAGTA